AATAAGCTGATATATTAAAAATAATAGAAAAATTTTGTTACATTTTATAGTAAATAAAAAATAATAAAAAATACTAAAATATTATTTAAAAAATAATGATATTATAAATAAGATATAAGACAATATTTTAATAATTTAAAGAATATATTTTAAAGATTTGATAAATTATAAAAAGATATACTATTGGCTTGCTAATAAAATTTTTTTGTTATTTTAAATAATAATTTTGATAATATATTATTTATTATTGTCATGATCTAAAATAGGATCTGCAATATTTTATCTAAGATCAATTATATAATTAACAATAATCTACTAACTAGTAGATATAGCATATATATATAGCATAATTAGTAGATATAGCATATGTAGTATAATTAATAGATATAGTATATGTAGTGTAATTAGCAAATATAGTGTAATTAATATAGTTAGTGCATATAGCATAAGTAGTATATTTTGCATATATAGCATAAGTAGTATATATAGCATTAATAGCATATTAGAAAAAGTATATAAGTAATGTGCTTAAACTGTAAAATAGAAAATAGAACATACAGGATGTAGAATATAGTAATAAAGAATATCTATCTTATACACTTGCCAAAGCCAATGCCTTTTTTAAGTGTTGTAACATCTTATATTATGTGAATAAACTACTGGCTATTCTATAAATAGAGAATTCTAGAATAGTTTTGATTCGTATTATTACAATTAGTGATGACTATGAGATCATCTAACTTCTTCTCTTTCTTCCTCTCCTCTGATCTGAATCATTACATTATATTAATTATAAAAAAAATTTAAAATAATAACCAAAATATTTAAACAAATTATTTAAGAAATAATTAACTGATATTTTAAGGTATATATATGATTTGATGATGTAATAAAAAACTGATAATTTAAAAATAGTAATAAAATTTATTATATATCAGATAATATTTAAACCTAAATACTAAAATATTATCTAGTGAAAATAGTGATCCTAGTGTAATAGTTGGGTGTCATCCTCCAAATGGCAGGTCTAAGATTCAAATCCCACCTATGACGAAATTTGAAAATTAATCTGTATTATAGCAATCTGTCTCTTGATAATTAGTTAGATTTGTATATCTGTAATCTTAAGTTACACTATTTTGAATAGAAGCTTAAAGCATCTATATGAAGTATAATATTACATATATTTAGAAGAATGTTAATAACTAGTGTTATATAAGACTTTAGTACAAATTTACAATAAGACTACTGAGCACAGTAACTAAAAAACCAAAGAGTTAAAAGCCTACTTGGAAATTTCTAAGTAAAAAGATAGCATGAAGTTTTGACAATACAGTCAAACTAATAGAAGCTTATAAAACACCCCAAAGAGATAGACAGATAAACCAGATATCAAGATGTATAGAGAAGCAAATAACCAACTAGGCCACCAGAATTGCCAAAGAAAAAAAATACATATGTATACTATACTGGACTATCTGAATTAGAAGCCAGAAGAGTTCTGTTAGTTCTGAGTAATGGTTAGTAAAGGATAATGAAGAAGATATTGTGATAATAGGTACTGGGATTCTAGTAAACTTTACAAAGATAGAAATAGTATAATGTAGCAATTAAATAGGCAATCTTTATAACTGCAAGTATTAGATAACTATAATATGTTGTATAAAACTAGATCAGCTATATGTAAGACACAGAAGATTCTAGTAAATTTTTTGTCAAGAAAAATTAGTTTTAAAGGTCTTAAAAGTATTAAATACTTTAGATAAGTGTAGTTCAGAAGATGTTCTTGTGATTACAAGTTAGATTATATATACAGAGGGTTTAAATAGGCAAGACCTATAGTTGGCTTTTAGGTATAGCACCTAGTATAGAATATATATAGTAATATATAAGTAAACTACTTAAATTAGATACCAAAAGTGCATATGTGACTAGTTGTAACCTTCTATATATAAAAGTCTCTGAAGGTATTCATGTTCAAATACTTGAATAAAAACATTGATCTTTAAAGACAGAGACTTTAATGTTAAAAAAAAATTTATCTAGTAAATAAAAATATCATAAAAAAGATATTTAATAATATCTTGAAAATTAGATAAATTATAAAAAGATAACTATTTGCTTGCTAAGAAAATTTTTTTGTTATTTTAAATGATATTTTGTTGATATATTCAATAATTTACAGATTTTTATATATATTAAAATATTTTTTTAAAATTTTAAGAGTAATTTAAAGATTATAATTATATTATTGACCAATATTTAATAATATTAAAAAAATACTTTCTGTTATAATAGTTTACTAATATTAAATAATATTGTTTAATATTATTATGCTATCTTAATTATTTATAAATAATATTTTAGTCAATTAAATATACAGTCAAACCTCTCTATAATCACACCCTTGGTTTAAAGAATTTGGTGCTTATAGAGAGTTTGTGCTTATATAAAGATTAAATTTTATAAGTTCTATATAAGTTGGTTTTAAAAATTTATGTGATTATAAGCAAATATGACTATAGAGGAGATGACTATAGAGAGGTCTGACTGTATTTAATGTGATATTTAATAATATTTTTTTATTAATAGTTGAATATTAGCTTATTTGTAAAATATTAGTTTATAAAATTTTGTAAAATTTTTTTTTTAAATATTAAAATAAGTACTTGTGATCTAGGATTTTATTAATAGTATATTTGGCTAATAGTTGTATTACAATTATAAAAAGCAATTATAGAAAAAGTATACAACTAGCTATTCATACAACTTTAGTTATTGTCTAATTTAAGTAGTCTGCTCAAAGGTTCTACACTAGCTGCTATAACTGAAATCTGCTTGTAAGTTCTCTATTTAACCACTTTAGTTTTCATATTTCCTATTTATCTTTGTCTATCAATAATCCTGACCAATGCTGATAAAAATATGCCATAGCTATTAAGTCTTTAAAACAGTTTTTTAGAACCTTTAACCTTGTACTAAACCTTTTAGAATCTTCTGTATTCCATTTTTATAGCTTACCTGATATCACTATAGCAAGACCAACAATGCTGATCAGTATATATTATTAAACTGCTATGTCTTTGTAGAGTTCATCTCAACTCTGATACTAACTTCACAACATATCTCTATTACTTTGGTATTTAATTCAAGTTCTACCAAGCTACTATTCCAGATGGTCTAAAAAGGTAGGTTATAATCATACATCTGGTTTACATGTTTGTTAGCATGTACACTTTTTTTCCAAAATTCACAAATTTTGACAGCCTAGTTGGTTCATCTAGTCCTTTCTTAAAGACTGATACATTTTCCAGTTTCACAAATTTTAGCTTCATTTTATAGGTCTAGTCTTTACAATAGCATCATCAAAAGTTTGAGTTACTTCTTTACTCAGGTTTTCCAAGTAGGCTTTTATCTTTCTATCTAGTTTCTATAATTTACATAATCTAAGAACTTATCTTGAGTTTACATTACCTAGTACTGGTTTGTGTTTTTTTGTACAACATTGTATGAGTGTCTAGACCTTTCAGTTATGCTGGTATGACATGAGTTACAAATATCTAATTTCAACTAATCACAGAAGACAGTTAACCATATTACAGAAAGAATTGCAAAATTTTACTATTACTGGGATTTAAACTTTAGACCTGCTACTTGGGAGTTAATAACCTATTTACTTCATTAGGTTACTACACCTCTTTTTAATTTTGTAAAATTAAAAATAATATATTATATATTTTTATATATAAAAATATTATTTATTATATAATATTTATTCATAGATGTTTAAATTTACTTTAGCTAATATTTATTTTATATTTACTAATTTAATTTTTATTATTTTATATACTAATATATTATATAAATTAAAACAATAAAATATATAATATATTTATTATTATTTTTTTTATTTTTTTTATTTTTATTTTTATTTTTATTTTTTTTATCTTTTTCTTGTATTACATCTTTATTTTTATTTTTATTTTTATCTTTAACTTTATCTTTACTCTTATCTTTATCTTCATCTTTACCTTTATTCTTACTATTATTTTTACCTTTATTATCATCTTTGCTTTCATTATTATCTACTTGATATACTTGCAAGTTTTCTTTTTCTTCTATTTGTATTAATCTATTAGTTCTTACTATAGATGTTTTTGATCTTATTGTTAATAGGCCTATAGTTGTTGCAGCTGATATATTTGCTATTGTTGTTACTGATATTCTTGCTATTGTTGCTACTAGTATTTTTGCTATTGTTGCTACTAATATGCTTGCTATTGTTGTTGCTAATATGCTTGCTATTGTTGCTACTAGTATACTTACTATTGTTACTACTAGTATGCTTACTATTGTTGCTACTAATGTGCTTGTAGTTGTTGCTACTAGTGTGCTTGTAGTTGTTGTTGTTATGGTTTCTTAAAAACTTAGTAGAAAAGGACTTCTTTTTTTCTTTTTGTTTTTATTTTTTTTTTATTTTTTTATATAATATGACTCTATTATCATCATTGACATTAACTCTTTTCTTTTACTAGTTTTTTTTATATCAACTTCTTTCTTATTTTGCTTATACTTAGTTTTTTTTTTCTTTTAAATATTTATCTTCAGTTAAATAATCTGTGTTAAATTCTGATTCAGAAATATTATAATGCCTTTGTATATTAGCTAATAATGTCTAGTTAGAACAGTTTCATAGTAAGGTTCTTTTTTTATCTATATGATCTTTGTAATACTATTAGTACATCCTATTATTTTTTGATTTAAAGAAACTTCACAAATAGATCAATATATTTGTAAAACAACCTTTTTAACTAAATATAATATTAGCATTAGAAAAATAGCTTATTATTTAATACAGTCAAAGATATTTTCAAATTTAGAAAATCATATTTTATGTAACAGATTGCATTCTAGATTGATTCTAGAATGATCGATAAATTTTTATTGGCTCACAATCACACTTTTTGGCTAAAAATTTTTAATTTTTTAGATCTTTTACAATGCCTAATAATTATACAAGTACAAAGTAGAAGATTTAAAATTTCATAATCAATTAAAAATTAATGATAATTAATTTTTTCAAGAATTTAAATAAGATGTAAAGTTTTGCTACTGTAGTTATTAAATATTCAATAGTTAATCAAATTTCTATGCCTTTTTACAGTATTATTGCAATAGTTAAATTTAGAACAAATAGTATAATAGTTAGATTTAGAACAAATAGTATAGTAGTTAGATTCAGAACAAGTAGCATAGTAGCTAGATTCAAAACAAGTAACATAGTAATTAGACTTAAGGCAAGTAGTACAATGTTTAGATTTGGCAAAGTAGCACTGTAGAATTAAATTTAGGACAAATAACATAGTAAAGTTAGACAAGTAGAATTAGATTTAGAACAAGTAACTATAGATTTAGATTCAGAATAAGTAACAGAAGAATTAGATTAAAGACAAGTAGAATAAGGTTTTTTTTCTTTATTTTTTATTTATTTTTAAATTATTTTTTAATATTTTAATTTTTATTTCTTATCTGTAGAATTAGATTCAGGACAAGTAATGATAAAGTTAGGTTTAAGACAAGTAGTACAATAAAGAGTTATATTTAAGACAAGTAGTATAGTAGAGTTAGAATCAGAACAAGTAGTACAATAGAGTTAGATTCAGGACAAGATTATGATAGAGTTAGATTTAGGACAAGTAGCATAGTAGAATTAGATTCAGAACAAGTAACAATAAAGCTAAATTCAGAACAAAGTAGTATAATAGATTTAAAGTCAGATTTGGAACAAGTAGCATGATAGAGTTAGATCCAGTACAAGTAGCATATTAAAGTTAGATTTAGAACATAGCACAATAGTTAAATTTGAAAGCAGCACAATAGTTAAATTCAGGAAAGAATATAGTAGTTAAATTTAAAACATAGCATGATAGTTAGATTTAGAACATAGTATAATAGTTAGATATGATAGTTAAATTAAGAATATAGCATGATAATTAGATTCAAAAATAAATGATAGTTAGGCTTGAGACTTAGCATAATAGTTAGATTTAAGATATAATACGATAGTTAGGTTCGAAAGTAAAATAATAATTAGATTCAAAATATAGTATAATAGTTAGATTCAAGATATAGCACAATAGTTAGATTTAGGAATAATACAATAATTAGATTTGAAAGTAGCATAATAGTTAGATTTGAAAATGTATAGTAGTTATATTTGGAATATAGCATATTAGTTAGATTTGTGGCATATATTTATATTTGCTAATTTGTACTATCTTTTGTTTTTTTTTTTTGTCTTATTTATTTTTTTAATGATAATTTTAATAAAATTCTGACTAATTTTTTGAGGTTATGCAATATATTGTAATAAAATTTACTAAAAACTAGCAAGCTGTAGTAATTTTAAATGCATGAATGCCAAGTAGAAGATCTTTTA